AAATAACATAGTTATGTATAATATATTACATTTCTGACTGTATATCCCTGTAATTATTACACACTGTAGCTTTAACTTTAAGAGTAAAAAAACTCATTCCATTGGCAAATCTTCCTATTTAGCTGCTCAAATTAATGGAAAATACACTTAATTCAAGAAATGTGGGCTTATTTTTATGTTTTTTTTGCAGTGTATGTCTAAAGCCAGAAGCTTTATCACAGGAAACTATCCTAGTTTCTCGTGATAAAGAGTTCTGAAGTTGCTGAAGGAGATCTATTTGGGAGCAGAGTAACACAGGAGCCCATGTTGGCTCTCTGCTGGAGTTTATCTGATTAACACTCACCCACATGAGGATGTTAAGGTAGATTTAAAACAAAAAAGCTCATTGTAAGAGAAAGGCAGAATAAAAAGGCATCATAGGGTCACCGGGGATCCGTTACAACTATTTGATGCTCCCTGCCTGCAAACTTCTTGTTTGCAAGAAGAAAAAAAAATATCTTGTATCGTCACAAATTTAAACATGTAGCTTGTCAAAGTCTGTGACCTAAATAGGACCTTTACACTATTGGATAAGACTATCATTGAACAAATAATACAGCTAATTTATACGTTTAACAAAATGAAAATGGTTTCATGTTAAATCCTCTTTATCAGTGTTTACTTGAATCTTGCTGTATTTTTTTCTTTTTTTATTTCTTTATAAACATGATCTTCTCTGTCATCTGATGTATTTTTTAGCTCAATATATGCGTTTTTTCAGGGTGCCTGGGGCAGGCGGTGGATCTGGTGTTTGCTCTGGATGCATCAGCTGGAGTTGGCCGTGAAAACTTTGCTACCCTGCAGGACTTTGTGCGCAGCATCTCCGTTCAGTTCGACATCAGCCGCGACGTGGCCCAGGTGGCCTTGGTAGCCTACAACCGCAGAGCCATCACTGTGTTTGGCCTGGACGCCCATGAGAGCGGCTCCGCCATCCTGGAGGCTGTGGGGGAAGCCAGCTACATGGGTGGAGGGGTGTCGTCAGGTACAGCACTGCTCCACATCTACTCCAAAGTGCTGACTGTAGCCAACGGTGCCAGACCGGGGGTCAACAAGGCCGTGGTGGTGGTGACCGACGGCTCGGGTGGAGATGATGCCGTTGTGCCAGCTCAGAAGATAAGAGACAGCGGCGTTTCAGTTTTTGTGGTCGGTATTGGAGACATGCAGAGGGACAAAGTGATGCTGATCGCAGGTTCAGAGGAGTACATGATCTCTGTGCCATCTTATGAGGATCTCAAGTACTTTGAGGACGTGCTGGTTCAGATGCTGTGCTCAGGTAAACATACAAATCATTCATTTAAACAGACTTTTCTTAACACAAAACCTTTTCCCCATTTTGCATGAGTAGTTACAGAATGTATTTTCTGTCTCCATGTAAATCGTTGTCTTTTTTTGTCAGAGGTGAAGAAACCTCCGAACCTGTGCAAGCCAAACCCTTGCATGCATGACGGGGTCTGCATCCTCTCAGGAGGAAGCTTCAGATGTCAGTGTCAAGGCTATGAGGGACTACACTGTGAGAAACGTAAGTGTTGTAAACGAACCGCTTCATCAATTATCTATTTCTTGCATTTTCATTTATACATCAGTATCATCTTTATCCCTTACCTCCTCATTGCTGCTCAAAACAGCAATATCAACATTATCTTACTTAAAATAAAAGAAAATATTCAGTGGTTAACCATTTAACCTTTACATCCAATAGATGGAGAAAACCCTCCTAATACATTGATGCATAGCTGCAATGGGCTGCAGCAGCTAAAAATTATATCAGGGGTCAATCCTACCAGCTAAGTACATGAAATTCAGGCCACAATTTAGACTCATCAACCTTGTAAAATAGACTGGAGTGACGTTACCTTGGTATGTTTAGTTTTTATTTCAGAGGGGTCCCAATCTTGAGAAAATATACAATCACAGGTCAGTCTTGCTTGGATTGTAACGGGTATATTCAGGTTATATGGCAATTAAGAAAAAAAGAACCCAAACTACTTGATCATGATGAATTAAGATTGTAAACACCAAGTTATGTTATAGAGCCTAAATAGAATTCAAGCACATGGTGCTATGAGCAGACATAAAGAGACAAGGCGCCCTCTGGTGGCAGTACAGCAGAACTATTAGAAAGCTGGATGGCTACTGTATGTAGCTACTTGATGGAGCCTGTAGAGCCCAGCCATCCTCCATCCCACCACAGTCCTACCATACGCAGAGACACAGCATCAAGATGAGGAATATTTTAGTCAAATACATTTTAAAAGTAGGATCCATCCATCACATAGCCACATCTGTTTGTGTATTCTGAGTCTTGTCCCACTTGGTATAAAAAAATAATTTTTTTTTCTAACTCAATCTTGGACTTTTATTCATTATTTTCACAACTTCACTGGAAAATGCTAACTGGCTTAGCCCTTTATGTCATTGTTAACCCCATGCACAGTATCATACCTCAATTTTTATTCTAAATATACGCAAATGTACTTAACTTATAAAGGGAGAAAAAGCAAAGCATAAAACACAAAAATAACATATAACACATCATGATTCAGTAACCTTTCAGAAGAAACAAAATTATGCTACCAGGATATACATTTTTGGGATAGAACTGGAAGTTCACATCACGGATGAGAATTTGTAAGATGCTTTTAGACCCAAAATCACTGAAGTCTCACAAGATGTGCCTGCAGGAGTACATATAGTATGTGAAAATAGTTTAAACATGTAGGATTTTGACTGCTGCTATTCGTTCTGGTGACCTTTCTTCTTTCAACCCTTTATAGGGCACGTTAACATTTTTGAACACTTGCATATCCAACAAATGTAGTCCCCACCGTCCCTCAGTGAGGTCTAGAAGCACAAGATCCATATCCAGCCATTCAGCAAAGATACTGCTACATGGCTATAAATCTTATTCTAGAATTTGACCAATTAGACGAACCCTTAAAAGATATTACCTACTGTAAATTAACTTAAAAAAATGTAATAAGTCAAGAAAAAAAGGTAAAAAGTTAATTGAAAAGTTAATAAGTTAATAAGCCTAGCTAACAATTATATGTAGGTTTGTAAACTAAAAAAATGTAAGCCTGTATCAGCATTAACGCCTCTAAGGTTATGTTGTACAAATAAAAACGTGTTTCTTTCACTCTGTGTTTTTAATGGATTTCTTGTAGAATCACTTTTGCTGTTTTTCTTAATATATTTGTTATTGTCATTAATTTTTGCCATCAAAGTATCAATACTTTTTTTTTATCTTACAATGGTAATACGGTGTTGTCCTGGATTCCATTAACAGTATTGGCTTGAAATTTTGATTTTCGAAGTTATTTCACTGAGGGCCCTATAAAGGGTTAAGGATTTTCATGTATACAGTTTTATTTGCAGGGCAAATATGTTTTATTTTTTTTAAAATGGTTTCACATCCCGCTGCATGATGTTAAATTACCCTGCTGCTAATTTCCAGCAAGCATAGCAAAGGTAGCAACACAATTCTATTGAGTAATTCTCAGTAGAGAAAATTTTGCTACTTGGACCCTTTTTGACCTATAAGTATTGAAGTTAAACCTCCAGCTTGATGTCCTTGATGAACTGTTCAATAAGGTGCAATATTTGTAGGATCAGTCGACACATAAGCAAGTATCCATTACTTACAACGAAGAAAAATGCTCCTCTTAAATTGTTGTCTAACAACTTTATATGTATTCCTCAAGGTTCCCAGGTTTCATTTGTGTTTACAGTCATGGCCATGCTGTAAATTATTTGCAGAAATCCTGATCTGTTTTGAACCTTTCTATCAGGAAGCAGCAGGTCCTCATCCAGAGGGGATTTTCCAAAACCTGTTGGTCTGAGAAAGAAGAGCAGACAGAAGAAGAGCCACCAGGAGCTGCTGTATCACTACAAACTACATCGCCGGAGACACACTGCCTGAAACTCAACAACTATGCAGAGAGAAAAAAAAATGGTGTGAGCGCTTAAAAATATGGGATGTTTGTGCAGTAAGAGAAAACTGATTCATTTTTCTGTATTTAATATTTGTCACAGTGGCAGCATGAGCTTTGTGTTTATCTCATTTCTGTCACCGCTTGTTTAAGTAAAGTTTTTTATTTCCTCATAAATTTGACTCAGTTATTGTGCTGACTGACTATTGTGTGTTTATATGCTCTGTGTCCCGAATTTGTTCAAAAGGTTTAAACCCAAATTATTCTTTATTTTTGAAGAATTGTTCAGAAATATGCATTCAGTCTTGATGGACATGAATTACATCCTAAATTTAAGCTTTAAAGGATCCCCAGTTGGAAAAAAAAATACAACCAAATGCAGTGATTATAATAATAAAAAAAAATGTATATTGTTCTCGTTTATCAAATACATAGAAACACCTCCCTATTATTCAGCTCAATGGCCTTTAGCAAGCACACTCTTAATTTTATCCATCAGTTATCTCCTGATATCATTGCAGCTGGATATTTAATTACTATCCTTATCAGAACCATTAAAAGCTCATTTAAATCAGTTGATTGTCTTTTAGCAAGTACTCATAAAATGTGCAGAAGCAAAATCAGTTTTGAGGAACAGCTGCAGTAATTTACTCTTGAACTACCCAAGTTTGAACCTTCTGAAAAAAATCGTCAACATGAAAATAAAAAAAAGATTCTCTAAATTCTCCAAAAACCACATAAGATCATGCTTATCAGAACGAGAAGTGATTATGAGGCCACCATCTAAAGGGATGCAACTTTAACCTAAATCCATAATCAAGCTTAGAGGGTCGGCTTAAGTTTTTTTTCCCGTTCCTGTTAAGAAAGATTGAGATTTTATGAGCAAAATTAGAAAAGTTTTAGAAGTAAAGATGAAGTTTCTGATCTAAACTACTATCTCAGCATCACACATGGTGCTGGCAGCAGCATGCTGAGGCTGCGTAGCTCCCAGAGGATAGCAGAAATCTCCAGCTTTTATTTAAAACCAACTGCAACATGATTGGATCTTAAACGTTGATTACGTCATAGCGCGGCGCAGAGGCCTGTTTGGATTGCAAGACTCGGAATGCAGCCTTCTTTTTGCGTGTTATGAAAGACTGGTCTGGTTTATCCTTCATAGCCTCGGATCAGAATCAGAAATACTTTAATAATCCCAGAGGGAAATTACTTTTGTTACATGCTCCAGTTACAATTTTATATAATATATACACACATCCAACTATACAATATAGTATAGTTGGATGTATATTGCAATGAATCCCGTGATTCTTTGCAAGTCCAAGCGAGCTGGCTGCTCTGTACCCAAAGGAAAAAGGTACGTGGTGCCGAACAGTGGTGACTATTGGAAGTGCAGTTACATATAATCCAAGTATGTGAATAGTTCCATTTGAAATGAATGAAAATATTGTTTTGTTTAATGTTTTAAATGGTAATTGAGTCAGATATGTGGCGAGTAATGTTTGGTTTATTGAAAGGTTTTTATCTGTCCCTGTGTAAATGGGTTTGGCTGATATTTAAAGGACAGATTCTAATGTATCTGCGGCGTTGGGGACTATAAATGTGATACGATGCAGCTGTTGAAGCTCCTCAAAAATGTTATTTACACCCAGGACAGTAGGGAGAAGTTCGGTATTTAATCTTTTGCTGCTTTGTGTGTCAACTCTCACGGTTGCTAGGCGACAGACCGTACGGGCGGTAAAAGCCGTGGAAGGCTGGACCTCTTTGAATCCACAGCCAAAAATATTCCGGTCTCCTCGAAGGATCCAATTTTGAAAGACTGGGTCCTTGGAGGTCTCAGCCGCTGAAATCGAACACAGCCTACGTTACCAAAGACACTTAATACTGACATCTGCTCGTCCGTCTGTATGGTTGCTAGGGTAACAGATCCAGGAAGCAAATCCCTCACATCCCTCTTCCTTGTGGGAAGGAAGTCAGCATGAGCATCCCCAGGCTAAACAGACTTACTGTATAGCTGCTTCGAAGATATCGGATTTCCATGGCGATACGCTGGAGAGCACCCAGGAGGCATCCTATTCAGGTACTCACACCGCCTGAACAGACCCCTTTCAGTAGGGAGAAGCAGCAGCTTTACTTTGAGCTCCTCACCTTATGTCAACAGCAGAGTCCAGCCACAAAAATTATATATTTTGATTTCTGTTTTTTTTTTTTTGCAAAATAGCAGGGTGTTCAAATATTTATTTCCCTCACTGTAAATATACTGTTCTACCTTACAATCACTAAATTATAGTTATAGAAAGAAACAAAAAAAGGTTTAAAACACAATTTGGAAGAGAAAAAAAAGAAAATAAATAAAACAGATGGACAAGAAATGTTTTGGCAAAGTTTATCCATTAGGTGTCATCTCATCGGTTTTTAATGAAACAAAATAAACAAATAGTTTTTTGCATGTTTTTATTTTAAGAATTTTTTTTATTTGAATAAAAAGTGCAGTTTTAGCTAGCAATACAAGCCAAAAAGGCTGAATAAATGGTGTACATATATTTACATCTTGCTACCAGCATACAAGAACTACGCTACAATCTAAATTTTACACAATAGACAATTTAGTAAAGGGATTTTTTTGTTGTTTAAAATTTAGTGGTTTTCTTTAACACTGGCCGCATTATTGCTTACATTTTCCCAACTGAAAATAAAATAAATGAGAACAGTGGTGGTATTAAAGAATAGTCGGTGATGTTTAGGATGTTTTCAGCTTGTGCTTCAGTCTCACTTCTAATGTCTCTGTAGAAATAAGGAAGGTTAAAAATCCCTGGTGGCGGAAATGTTTGTGCAGATTTACAAGCTTCCATCTAAGTGGTGGATTTTTTCTCCCATTCCTACAAGAAGAAAAGCAGACAGTAGCTTTAACCCAAAGCAATAAAACATTTTGATTAAAGGTATAGCTCAAGTATTTCATGCATTGATCCATGTCTTACCTTGGCTTTCTGCAGGACATTGCCTTTTGTTGCAATAATGGAAGTGGGTCTGTTTTTAAGTGCTGAGGCAGCGTTTACTGGAGAGTCAGCGCTGGTGCTGCTGTTGGTCGGCTGGGAAGGTGATGAAGATGGTTGTGGTGCTGCTTGTGTTGGTGGTGATGATATTTGGGGATTGGACATGGTTGTTGCTTTAGTCTGGAGGGAAAAATAAAGAAACAAAATAACTCAGAAAATGTTAGGCTCACTTTTAGGTAGGGGTGAAAGCAAGTTGGTACGGTCCAGTACTGTGTACCACTAAAAGATTCTGTGTCGTATGCATTACCAGGAAGAGGGGGGCAGCTGTCTGCTGAAGCCATCATTCAGAACCAGTCATGCTGCATTTTCAGTCCGAATAGATCCGCTAGCAATAGTTAGTCTAAATCACCACTTAATCTGTTAATAATTAGATTAGTTTTCCTAATTCTAAATAGTTTCTGAACAGTTCAGACCAATGCCGGAGCCTTAAAGCTCAGGGCTTTTGACATCTGCAAGCCTTTGAAATGTGCACCGCTACGTTTGTCTGTCTGATTGTTGCAAAAAGACCCCATTTAAAAGCAAACAGAGTGTAACTAATTGTGTTTCACTTTATTTTGCTTAATTACAACAAAACAGCACAGCCAAAAAAAAACCTGCATGAAACCACAGATTCCTTTTACACTGGACTACAACACAGGTTGCAAAGGAGATCAGTGCATTTCAGTTTAACCTACTGGAATATTTTACACAGATGGTGCACTGACAGAAAATCCCAAATTGTACACCGGAAAAATTATCTATAAATAAATAAAAATGTCTTAAATTAAGTGTATTTACCCTTAACTTGAGTAGGTAAATGAGATATTTTGCCAATGGAATAGATATTTTTACTCTTAAAATAAGATAATTAGATAATATGCACTTGAAATAGGACAATGCAATCGTGTTTTCTTATTTTAAGTGTAAATTGTCTTGTTCCATTTGCAAAATGGCTCTTTTACCTCCTCAATCCAAGAACAAATGCACTTATTTTAAGAAAAAATTACTTATCTAGATTTCGTTATTTCCAATGTATCAGGACAAGAAGAGCAATAAATTAGCAGCTCTATTGATCTTTTAATGTAAATCATGAGAACAGAACTATAACCCCCCTCTCCCATATGTATTTAGTAAGATATATATATATATATATATATATAAGTACCAGTAAGAATGTAGATACAATAGTAGCCATTCAAAATTTCCCCACTTTCCCTGATGTGTCCTTGGCTGTTCCCCTACAATTCCTTTTTTAAACATCAATCTTTGTAATACAATATTCCTTCTGTCATGATTTGTGAACATTAAGATCTAAAGAGAGGCACCATCTCCTGGTCAGACCCTGTAATTCTGTGAAAGGGAAAGGTCAAAGTAAGAAAATATGCATGCCCAGGAGAAGCAAGGGGGTCACTCCAGTGGCTGGAAGTTGGCTGCCACTCGACTGGCGTTCGACTGGGAAGGACCATTTTGAATGGCTGCTACTGTATAAGGTGATATAGGGTGAGACCAAACTAACCGTGGGGGAGTCCTGGAGGCTGCTGTCCAGTGTGGTTCCCAGTGTGAAAGGCCCTGATTCCACTTTCTTCAGACTTTCCTTTACTTCTACCAGTTGAAGCTCCACCTCCACCCTGTGCTGCTCCGCCTCCCGACACGCTTCTTCCTTCTCCTTCAAACACGCCTCCAGCGAAGCCTGCAGCTTAGGATCTAAAAAAAACCAAATGGTCAAAGCTTTCGTTCTTGCCCTTAAGACCTAACGGCAAGATGTCAGAATACTAAAGCTGCAGGCAGACATTACCCTGGCAGGTGCTGAGCTCCTCTTTTATTTCTCTCTTTTCCTTCTTCAGGTTGGCCAGGCTGCTCCTCACCTCCTCCCTCTCCTTCTCCAGACGATCGCGTTCATCAATGTAGCGCCGCAGATCTGCCTCAGTGCGGTTTTTGCCAAGCTTGATCTCAAAGCCACTGGAGCTCCCTGAGAATAAAGTGACAGGATTTGATGTGTATTTCACTACTAGAAGGACATGTAAAGCCTGGCAGATGTTATCCTGCTTCTTTGGAAATGTTTCACAGTCTTTTACAGTTTTCTGGGCAGGTGCAACCATTGCCAGTTCTCAAATTATATAAACTTAAATGTTTTCATTGAGCGGGTTTACATCAGTAAACAATCCATACTTTTATAAAATGACCATTGTAAATGACCATTGACCATTATATGTAAAGATAAATGATAAAAAAGCTGTACCTCTCCATCTTTTCTTTCCCCGTTTCTTCGAAATAATGCTGTCATACAGGATACAGTAAAGTGTGTAGAATTAAGTTAATCTGTAGGTCTTTAGTGTTACCAACTTTGTTGTAAAAATTTAATTTTTTTTCCTAAGTTTAAAGTTATTTCTACTTTTTATCCCAAATGATCATACTGCCTGTAATATTCCAAGACTTTCCACTTGTTTATTAATAATATAATGGAAAACTCTACATGCTTATTTTTTTTATTTTTATTTATTTATTTATTTTTGGAGGCGGGGGGCTGTTAAATTATATCAGCTTTTAGAACCATTTAAATAAACCAATTAAGTCTTTGGTTTATTAAAACTAGAGAATGCGGCTGTAGTGGCTGCATGTTCCCACTAGAGGGAGCCAGTGGCACAAGGTGAGCATGTCTGTTTCAGGAGGGTCTGTCTCTAAAACCTGAGGTCAGGGTCACTTTTCCTCACCTATGGTGTGTGCCTTTGGTCGTCCCGGCTGTGGGCTGTTGGGGATCCAGGATGCGGTGGTATGTGTTGTTCCCCCCTTATGTGTCTGTGCTGCAGGCGGGCTGTAGGCTCGTGGGACCCCCAGGCTGTTCCTCTTGGAGATGTCCTGACCTGGTGATGAAGTCTTGGTGGGTTGAGTTTGTGCCACTATGGAAGTGGGACTAAATGATCGCTGCTGATTTGGTTTGCTGGAGAACGCTGAATTTGGCCCATTTGTTACCACGGTGGAGTCTGGCTCAGTTCGGTTTGTTGCAGGGACCTGAAAATTGAAGAATTTTCTGTCAATTCTTTTGGCTTTATTTATTTTTTTGTTTGTTTTTCCAGCTGTCTAAACCAACGCATATTAAAATGACTTATCATTGAATACATTTCCATTGTTGCACCGATAATTCTCTGCCACATTTATCCATTAAACACAAAGAATCATTCAATCACTCTGCTTTTTAGACTACAAGCAATCATAGCGCTTAAAAAAGTCCAGGATACTTGGAATTAATTGCCTTTAGAATCTATTTGCATTTAGCTCAGGTAAAGTCCCTGACCTGATTTAGATAAGCTTGTAATTTTTTACTTTGCTGTCTTTGCATCGAACAAACTGCCCACTTATTTAATCTGGATGGAATAAAATTACCTTCAATACTAATATCAAGAACTTTGGCTTCATCTTTGCCTTATTTCTAAACCCCAAATTAATCAGGCCTTTAGAGCGTCCATTTCTTTTGCCTGTGCAAAATAATTTAAATGGAAAGATCTCCTCCCAGAGTGACTCAGTCCAAAACAGTCCAATTCTTTCTAATTTATAGGCTAGATTTACTCTACAATCAGAAAATCAAAATAAGTAAATAAAAATCAACACAAAACAAAAGATAAAAGTAAAAATCATATTTCATCTGTTTTAGGTTTTCTACAATGGTCTTAAACTTAAAACCCGTTTTCTAACCTGTAAAGCTCTGAATGACAGCTGTTTAAGAGATGTTACTGTTCCATGTTAATTTAGATGTTTAAATTAGAGGCTTT